AGTTGGGATTTCTCAGTTTTTTGAAGTCTCGGGGTCACCCATGAGGCAACCACTTTCAGTTTTACCGTATTGAAATACGTCGAACTCTCCGCCTGCTAAATTATATTAGTCTCAGGTTCGTGGCGGGCTGGAATACGTTTTCTGAGATACGTCACAAGTCTCTTATGCCAAAAAATAGCTTTGATCAAGCGGCATTTGAGGTGAACCAAGTCTCCATACCTTAAACATAACTATGTTATTACGTTATTTACTTATTACCATGTAACGGATGGTAATTTTTGAACCAGGTACGTCATATTACCTGTTGCTAAAAGCCCGAACTTGAGTTGTTACAATGGAAATGTACATTTATTTGATACATACATTCCGTACAATTTGTGTAGTTGAGTACAACCTATCATTTACTATTGCAGAGCGTTAGTAGTATGTTGTTGCAACTAGCTTTGAACATCTACGATATGTATTCTAAATATTCACTTCGACGAGGACGGAACACAGTTACATGATCAAACGAACTTACCTGTAGGTGATGTTCGATCTTAATTATGTGAAATCCTCGTCGAAGTAAATAGGTTCCTCGCTCCCTATGTATCACCCAATTGTTGCAACAACTGGGCTTTCTAGAAAATGAATGTTTATAGGCGGCCAGAGGGGAGGAAGGTAGGGGGAACGAGCGCAGTGCCGCTTTCTTTTGCTGCGTGCCCACTTTGAAATCGTGGGTTACAACTAACGAGGGTAATACGATATGTACTCTGAATATTTGCTTCGACGAGGACTTCACATAATTGAGATCGAGCATCACTTACAGGTAAGTTCGTTTGATCATGCAATTAACACCCTGAGGTTATAGCTTCGCGACCAATAAAAATCATCACTTGAAAAACAGCTTCGAGAAGAAAATATGCAACTTTATTGAATAGGTTATTTGTGGTTCAATATGTAATTCTACTTCTCTGGAGGTATGGAAACTACAGTTCATAAACCTTTACATATTGTTGTCGTATTGTTTTTTTTTTTCTTTCGTTAAAGCGTGCTTATTTGAAACACACTGTTAAAAATAAATAGCAGGCAAATGAACAATAATACGTACTCGCTTCTGGCTGCTGCTCATTCCGTTACCATATAATCAGCTGAATTGGCTGATAACGAAGGATTAACAGCAATTATCGCAGCTGAAGCTGCAAACTATGGGCATTTCTCACATGCATGCATGGATCGAGAATGATAGAAATCCGACTCAAGACCTTGATCTACTCAACCGCATACGTAGACGGTGAAAATGGTGCTGACAGGTGATAGGAAATTTATCGAACATAGATTTTTCAGATATAAAAAGTAAGAAACTAGGGTAGAGCCAAAAACAGCCAAAATTGACCAGATAAGCGGTACAGTAGGAAGTAGTGTAGATAATGGATACTGGAAGACAAATATATTTCCATCTACTAAGAACATACATCGAAAGTATTCCAAGTATCTATGGGACACATCCTGGAAATTTTCTTAGATCATTGTTGAGCAGCTAATATACATTTATACAAAACACATAAAATTGATAGTGTTCTTATAAGAGCAATGGTAGATAAATTAACAGGCAAAGTCATAATGATAATAGGTAATAGAACAAATACTCGTAATTGGAATCATTAGAATGGACCATTGATAAACCGAATTCATTAACCATTATCACCACCCCCTTTGACATAGTAAGTAGAACCAAGGTGAATTTCGTATTTTACGCCGAACTTTTAAATGACTACAACGCTATAAAAATGGTTTATGATTATCGAGGTTCAACTTATAAAATCAAACAAAATAAAACTAGCCAACGGTTAATATACAAGGTAATATAACAGGTAAACACCTACGTATGTTGATTAGAATTAAAGAATTCTTTACATATCGATTTATCTTGCCATGAACAAGTGATCAAATGGTCAGGTTTTTGTGGTGGCAGCGTGTATTGTTTGGTGATAGAGAAGCATCCAGTTTTCGTACATTTACGGTGTCAGTTAAATGTTAAATTACGTGTGAATCATTGAGAAGCCTTTTTTGATTGCTCAAAATGCCTAGAGTGCGTTTCGTTCGTTGGGTGACCCAAGTGAGTTTGAGAGGGATCGAATTGTCGGGTTGCTTGAAGCCGGTCTATCGATAAGAGAAGTTTCTAGGAGGACCAACAGATCCCTACGCAGTACACGGAAGTGTGAACGAGCGTGGACAGCGAGCGACGGGTCCTGGACGTCCCAGAGGGACCAGAGAGCGACAAGATCGCCGGTTAAGACTTTTGGCTCTGAGAAACAGATTGAGTAATCCTCGAGCCGTCGCTAATCAGCGGTTTGAAGAACATGGAAGGATGGTTGATATGCGTTCAGTATATCCCCGAATATGACAGTTTGGCCCTTTTTCTTATTGGTCCACATTGGTTGCTACCGCTCACAGCTAATCATCGGCGAAACCGTTTGTTCTGGTGTAGAAAAAAGATTCTATGGAATCGGGAATGGAATCAGCTGGTCTATAGTGGCTAATCCCGCTTCTTTCTGGGAATGCACGATGGTCGGGCACGAGTGAGAAGGCGACGTGGTGAAAGACGTGACCCACAATTTGACAATGAGAGTCACGTGCACCACGCCTTGAGAGTTATGGTCAGGAGTGCTATTGCTTGTGATAGCAGATCACGACTAATTTTCAACAGAGGCAATATGACAGCCCGACGCTATATTCAGAAAGTAGTGGAGCCTCATCTTATTCCATACCTAAACACCATACAAAACCCGATTGTTCTGCAAGGCAATGCCAGACCGCATTTTGCCAGAGCTTCATTAACCTTCATGGATCATCATCGCATCAACCGTTTGCCTTGGCCACCACGATTGCCTGACATATCTCCAATTAACATGTCTGGGATATGATAGGTCGCGGGCTCTTGAATTTGCAACACCATTCACAGACTTAAGCAGCCTTTACTCACGAAGTTGCAGTAGCCTGGAACGACATGCCCCAACAGAATATCGACCACCTTATCAGCACGATGCCCAGGCATGTCAATGAGTGTATAAGACCTCGTGGATCCTCAACACATTATTGAACCAGCTTCTGCAGTCAGTTGATGAATCAAGCTGGAAATTTAATCATTTTACTAGCAAGGGACACTGAACATATATGCCAAATATTATTAAAAGCGGATAAAAATACGTAGGTGTTTACCTTTTTTTGTCACTCAGTATAAAATGTTAGAAAAAGTTATTATGAGAAGCTCAAACACACCTTTTTCAAACCCTATCTGGGTTATTCCACAGAAATTACATCAATCTGATAAACAATAATAGAGGATTGTTATTGGTCATCGGAAGTTGAACTAACGCAAAGTAGAGGACAGATACAAATATTACACACTTGATATAGCCTCAGGCTATCGTCGAATTGATATGGAAAAATCTGACCTTCCAGAAGCTACATTTTTGGCACTAGATGTTAAATGTATTTAGGGCATAAAAATAGTCCACCTTTCTGAAAGTAATGGAACATTATCTATTATACTTAGATGACATGGTTTTCAGTACATTTTCTTCAAGGACACATAGAATGTCAGAAAACGGTTTCTAATCGGCTCTTGACAACAGATTTCAGTGACGGTATTGAGCCTAGTCATTCCAAAGTTTGAGCAGTAAAAGAATTTCCAGGCCCAAAGACACAAAAAATCATTAAATCTTTATTAGGACTTGTAGCTTATTATAGTGGTTAACCTCCTGTTCACTGAATGCGGACTCCGTTGATACTCCAATTAAACGTTTCAGCACATGTAAAGAAATTTTGCCTAATCATCCAGTCCTTATTTATCGTGAGTTAAGTGAAGAGCTTATCTTGACGACATATGCTTCAGCAGAAGGAATCAGTGCTATATTAGGGCCCATAGGTCAGGACAAACCAACAGCTTACGCTTCACGTAGCCTTAATGAAAATAGCAAAAGACCCATGCTGCAGAAAGAAAAAACTATTTGGTTGACAATACTTTTGACCATACCTTTTGGTGGGAAATTTCCTATTGTAGATGACCATCGCCCACGTAAAGTAACCCCATTTAAAATTAGTTTTATCGAGGTTACGCCTTCAGGGATTTAATTATAAAATTATTTATAAAATGGCTAAAAAGCTAAACAGCTATACGTTCACAAATCAGAATTCATAATTCTTAATCCCGGCGACGTTATCGAAGCCGTTTGACACTAAATGAAAGACTTTGCTAATAATGTAATCGGATGACAAAACACTCCATTCCTCATCAAAAGCAACTGAAAATAGTGATATTTCAGTTCACAACGAGATCATTAATAATAGAATCAATCAAATAAACACGTATTTGTAAACAGGCATAAGCAGCAGCGGTAGCCGCAGTGGTAGACTCTTCGATCTCCTGATCAGTCGCCGTGCGCTGCGCGGGTTCGAGTCTCGTCCCAAGAGAAATTTTTGTTTTGGTCATGGATGATGTGATTGTCCGTAGGTGATAGAGGATCTCTGACTGTTGAACGCGGAGGTACCACCCGGCGGATCACGTAGGCGGGGCCAGAATGTGTGCATGCATGCACACGTGTTCCCTCGTCAGAGTCCGTGTGGCGTCTCCCCTTTCCCCTGTTTCCCCCTGTAGCCCCACGGTACACCATGGGCGTCTAGACCTTAGACCTTCGTGGTAGTTGGAGTATAAAAAAAAAACAGACAAAATGAGGTTACTGTAAAACGTGCGCAGTACAAAAACCATAAGATGACTCAAGTACATGTTGCGTTAGAAGAGATTTTTTTTTCCTGAAGATACTATGTATCATAACTAGTTTGATGATAAGCGGTTAACTAAGGATTTTCGTAATGTTTATTCGGCGTTTCCCAGTACGGGAATATTGAAACCTAACTCTTGGTTTCAATCAGTAATTTGGAAGAACCACCATAAAAAAGAAGCCACTCAAATTGTTAGAAGAAATGCTCAAAGTTCAACAAAGAATTATTGAAGTCACCATTCAACGGGCTCATGAGATCATCACTTTCTGCATAGTCCAGAAAATCATTCAAGCTACAAGGAAGAAGAAAATTTTGAAGCTCATTCAACCACAACACGAACATTTTTAATAATCTGGGCATGTAGTGGAGTATTATGTCGAAGTCAAAGGTAGGAAAAGTTACCCCACTGGAATTGCATTCACGTGCAGCAAGATTATCCAGAGTGAGCAATCTCATCCGAGGAAATAAATATGTGTCGTATCTAATGCATTTATCTTTTACTCGTTTGCCATTGTAGTTAGATGGTCTTAATACATTTGTTTTGTCGACCAGTTCAAAAAAGATTTTTAAAAACTATTCTCGAAATACCCGATCGACTCCGGACAAAGGGATGATACAGTAATGGAGTAACAACTTGTATATGTTTATCAAGCAACTGTGGTAGCTCAGTTTTGAGTGACTAACCCTTGACCACAGCCGACGTCAACTACGAGCCGTGATGAAAGAAAGGCAACACCGCGCTCGGACGGCATGGTAGTGCTACCTGTGAACGTCGGCCGCCTGCGGCTGTGTGCTCCGTCTCCGTGTAACGTTCAAGAACTAAATTTAATTTTGGAAAAGAGGACAGTTCGATTCGATACAAATCGTCTGAATATGAAATAGCTCTACAAAATTTAAAAATACGAAATAATCGTGATATATATGAGTCGCTAATGCAGTTAACCTAATTAAAAGTATTTAGTTTACGTTTTTTGGTGTCAGCACACTGTGTTCCAACAGGCCCAGCTTGGAAATGTGGAGTTACCTGTTTGTTTTTAATACATTTACTTTCAATTTTACCGTTATTTTTCAATTTTACATAATCATTCAAAATTATGTTTGAAAAAATAGACAAAAGCTTAGATAAAATATCTGCATAATTGCGGCCACAGATGCAAGTTAAAGAAAATTCACTGTATATAAAGTCAGACTGAATGCTGAGCAAGGTTAACTGACACAAAATAAATTTTTGATTATTGCTTTTCAAGAAGAAAATTTCCAATCTATCTACATTAATAATAGATTCAAAATTGGCATAGATATGGTAGAATATGATTGGTACATAACTGGTTGGAATTGACAGTCCCCCTCTTTGCAAATGATCAAAATAAACATTTGTTGTTAATGAACCTTTTTCTTTAACTATTAGCGATTTGCATATCTCGCAGTTTAGGTTTTTAGAGATAGCGTGTGAAGCATATCCAGATATATAAGTCTTAGTAATATCCTCTATGTCACAATTGGCTAAGTAATTTGTCTCAAATACTTCATTGAATATATCCAAAACTTCAGGATTTTGTTTGGTATCCAAGAAATCAAAATTTTCTTGATTTTCTAAGCAGTTTTGGAACCTTGTTTTAATTTCTGCTAAAGAAAATGACGATTTCTTTTCATTGAAAATATGCTTCAGCCGTATTTTCTTTTCAGCATTTAAAATTTCATCATATGACACATTGTAATTGCAGCCACATAAAAGTCTATAATTGCCAAATCGTCTTTCTAAATTATCAGTGGTGAATTTTCCAGGAAATACATACTCAATGTCAAATTGATTAAATGAATATTCAATTATATTAAGTAGAGTCAGCGTGCTTTGATATAGAGCTGTATACGTTTCTGGTGTGAGGTGTCCATTATTATTCTCCAGATTATGCCATTTTTCTAACCATATCAGGAATTTTTTTAAAAATTGTACTCTATAATCATATTTATTGGTAATAGGCTTACAAAAATCGTTTCGCTTCAATTCTCCTTTTATTACACTTGTATTACTGACAATATCCCACCAATTCCTGATTATTTCCAAAAAGTGTGCGGCATCATTAAACTTTAATTCTTTCATAGCAGCTATTGTTGAGTGATGGAATAAATTATCTACAAAATTTACACTTTGCCTTTCAAATGAATATGGATGCAATGTTTTATAATTTAATTTATATGCTTTCTTAACTACAGCTTCTTTTTCCAATTGATATACAGCACGAATGTTTTCAAATTTAGCATACTGAATAATATCAAATCAATATCAAAATTAGGATATACAAAAGTTTTGTCTAGGTTTTTTAAATTAATCCAATTATTTCTGATACTCTTGAAAATATGCACAACATCATAAGTTAAATATATGTTCTTATCAGGATTATAATTTTCTGATGAATCGTTTGCTAATTTCCTGAACATTGCTCTATTAATTCGGTGATTATCAGTAACAACACAAATAACTTCAAATCCACATTTTTGAACTAAATTTATCAGATGTTCAACCAAAGGTGTCATTTCATCACCTGTTAGATTTGAAACTGGTAGTAATTTGATAATTTCTGTTATGTTTCCAAATGCTGAAGATAGCATGAAGGCTAAGACAGTTTTAGCCACGTCATTTTTATTTGAGGCATACCCAACAATGTTTTGTGAGCGATAGTCCAGCCTAGATGTTATATAAATTTCATCGATCATCAAAATTACAATTTTTTCTCTTGGAGCTAATTTAATTGCTATATTCGAAAGGTAGTGTTCATTATTGATATCATTTTTTGGAGATATATGCATACTTGAGGAGATATGTTGTAAGTATCGCTTACTTGGCAAAATAAAAAATCTTTTAATTAAATTATATGTTGATGATGGGTGGTTATAAAACGTAAAAGCCATTATTATTGAAAGTGATGCATATCTGTTTTTCCTGTTTTGAATTTGTCTCAGCTGATCTCTAGATTTTTTGTATATGGAAACAAAACTGAGTCATTATTAATTATGGAAATCGCTGTGTCAAGTTGTTCCAATGCATTCATGATGCAAACTTCAACAGAGTTTTTGTGTTGGTTCTCAGGAAAATAGAAAAAATACCTATTTAGCTGGTTTTCTAACTGGGACCATCTGGTAATTTTGAGATCATATGGCAAAACCCACTTCAAGTCACTAAAAGAAAGCTTACATCCTTTATGAACAACCTGAACTTCCATCTGATCATCAACTATAATCTGTGTATTCAAAGTTAAGATATCATTTTCAAAATCCAATTTATAAAATATAGCTTTCCATCACATAATTTATTATTCCATTTCTGTGAGGCTTTAATTTTTGAAAATGAAGAATGTAATTCTTGAAAGTCTTTGATCTTATCCATATCATCGAAATTCTGGATAGCTTTTTCATGTTTCTCAATTAATTTTTGTTTTCTTTGCATTGGGTCAGTTCTTTTGGGTGCTTCAGTTTTTGAAAGATAAGATGGCAAGTTTGGGAAAATGGAGGGAACAGCATTTCCTTTCAATTTTGGATATTTCAAAGGTATATTATTTTGGACTGTTCCATCCGCCAAAACTATATTTTCTGTCCTGATGATATCCGATTCTCTAAAATGACGACTGCACACAGCTGAATATTTTGAAGGTGTCCAATTTTTTCTGGGAATTGCCATAAGCCATTTGTTTTTCAGACTTTCGGTACTTGGTAAGCGAAAAGTTGAAATTATAGTTTGCATTGCATGAAGGAACACAGCAACAACGAGGCATATTGTCTGTGTCAAATACTTGATAAATGAAAAAAGAAAAATACAACCTGAATTTGCACGTTTTCAATAGTTGAAATCCTTAGCGTCCTGAGGCGCGAACAGCCACAGTCACACTTCTTAGTTTATTTTTAAAGCACAGAAGCACTACAACTGGAGTCCATTTCTCATATGTTATAGTCACCGATCACTTTGAACACATACACACACTTTGAAGCTTAGAAAACAAGCTTATCTCTTAGTTACAGCCTCTGGGATTCCCAAATCACAAATTGAAAAGGTTATGTTTTCTCAGCGTTTTGAGCACGAGTTGCGTCGATGCAACAAGCAGCGGCGGGAGTAACACTACCACCCACGTTGCCAGATTTCTTTGTTCACGGCTCGTAGTTGACGTCGGCTGTGCCTTGACTAATCGGACGTATCGACATCGCTACGTAACCTCACATTAAACTTCCGGTATCTGCATTCCCTTTACGTGCATAGCACATCAAACATGAAATTATGGACTGATTTCCGGAAGGGCATCAAAGCATACCTTATCTTTGTCTGCATATGCATAACGTTGAGTGGCTATTGACGAACAATGCACAACAATACGGGGTGTGTCAGCAAACTGTGGCTATGATTATAGGGCAGAAAGTATGTATTTCATTAGAAAACTTCCCACCATGGATTTATCGAAAACCACTGATTAAAAAGAAAAACGCCGAGACACGTTACAAGACTTACTAACTAAAAGCTACTTGACCCCCTTTCATCCTCGGCCCCTCTGGTACGTTGCCTTAAAAATCTTAAATGCCAAGGAATACCGAGTAATAGCTTGTCTGCAAGGAACTTGAAGTCGTCTATTTTCACGTTTGATTTTTTAGAATCAGATTAGTTTTCGAGAAAAAAATTATAAAAAACAAAAACACACAGAGAAGGGCACTTTTTATTTCAATAAGTGTACAAAATGTTGTACGTTGGGGTTTGCCAAATATACAACTTGTTTATAATTTGATTCGGAAACTACCAACGTAAACAGCAATTCGGAAGATCAGGCGTGGCAACAACCAAGTAACAACCCAAATTTTTTTCCGCATTCTTTTCATCAACACAGATATCCTGGCTGAACCGTATTTATTGTTATACCTGTTTAGTAATTTGTTGCTAAGGGAAAGAAAAAAATTAATTAGCTGTCAGTTACCTTTCAAATTTTAATTCCAAAAGTTCACGTTTAACGCCAGACATCCGGGGAAGATAACTTCGCAAATGTATGATTTGGGCCTTGTTAATAAATGTACTCAAACAGAATCTGTTGCAAATAAAAAAACGTAATCATCGGAGAGTTTTGGATGAAGCCTCTCATGTTGAAGTTTTGGGTCATTTTGGAGTGAATCCTAATACTTCATTACGCAAAATTGTTGCTGCGACTGGTATTTCATTAGGCTCTGTACATACAGTTACAAAACTCCATACATTTCCTCCACTCAAAATGAAAACATTGCAAGAGTTGACCGAAGATGATTTCGATAGCCGGGTTGAGT